ATTTCCCTATGACTTGAAAGTGAAGAACAAATTCAGAAGATTCAAAGTTAACTATTATATTAGTATGTAAAATATTAAAATCATGCTTGCTCAAATTAATTTCAAAATAGAGGAAAATGAATTCACAATTTGCTACTATGATCTTTTATCATAAACGTTTGGGAATCATATTATATTAAAATCTTGGGTCCTAAAATAGAAAGTACATCTCAAAGAATGTTTTAAAAATAGAAGAGAATATACTATTTGGGTTCAAAATATTTTGAAAAAAATCCTCCTTGAAATAAAACTTATTTTAGCTTTACATTACATAATATAAAATTCAGTGCTTTCTAAGTCTCTTTTGAATAATCCTTACAATGCAAATATATGCACCACTTTTTTTCTGTACATTAAACTAAAATAATTACACGAGTTCACATTTTCAAAAGCTTACTTTTGTTATAAAAATTATTATGAAGATAAAATTGAACATTAGATTGGCTAATTAAGCAGAATGTTAAAATAACTTTATATTTTGAGAACATTATTTTATGATTATCTTGTATTAATTTTGCATAAAGTATGATAAATAAGGCAATTTAGTAAATATGATATTGGAACTATTCCATGAGGGAGGTTGTTAAAACCATTCAACATGAATGGCATGAATAGAAATAAATAGTTTCCTACTCTGAGATTCCTAAACTTGGAAATTTAGGTACATCACTTAAATTTCAAATCAAAAATATTTGTGGGAAGAAATAAAACAGAAGTTATTTTTTATACACTGTGGCAAGTATATTTTTAAGGACTTGGATTGGTTAAAAACACAAATCGATTTAAGACAGCAAAACAGTCCTGAATGTGGTTATTTTGAGATACAGGAAGGATACAAAAAGAAAGGAAAGATGTCTCCTTTAAGATTTGAATTCTTAGGAGTGGATACCAGGCAGAAAAACAAACAAACAAAATCAACAAACAAACAAAAACAAGTTTCTTTTAATTAGTCAGTGTAGAAGCATTCAGTACAATCTGGAGGAATGGCTGAATGGATCATTGAATATATGAATGCATCTTTTCTCCTTGAATTCAAATTATGTGGCTTATAAGTTCATTTTAATTTGTCAATGGGTAGGGAGAAAATTTATATATTGTGTGGGAAAGAATGCTATAAAAATAAGCCCTCATCTTATTCTTTTAAGTCTAGCAACTCTAATACAATTTCTTTTACAATATGTAAGAAGCAGCTAATGAATATCTTGCTGAGCTTTAAATATTTAACATCCGCACTTAAAATCTTAAGTGTATTGTTTTTCTTCACAAATCAAAATCTTAGTATGATTAGACTAAGATTCCACATAATCTCATAAAATTTATACTTTGGATTAAAAATTATGTTTTAGGCATTGACCTAAAATGCATAGTTAGTTATATATACATGTACACACCCATACATACCTGCATACAATTATAACATTTCTTCATATATTTAAATATAGCCTAATGTAAATTTTATAAAGTAACTATAAAATCATATCCTATAAAAAGCAGTAACAAAAAATTATATGGTCATAAAATTATCAAAGGAATATACATATTAGTTTGAAATCATCTATCTCTAGACAAATATATAGACAGGGTTATAGATATATATGTGTATATACATAAGCTTATTTATTATTAACCATAAATTTGAAGTCAAATTCTGATATGCCAATAGAATTAACTTCTTTTAAAGACATTGCTTAGAAGAGGGAAAATATAGAAAGGGAAATCTATGTCCTACAAATCCTCATTGATAAAAGTACTATTTAAAAGAAAGAGATACATGTATGTCTAACTCAGAAATAAGAATGTAGCCCACTTCGTTTGATCAAACACTATAGAGAAAAGGTTATATTTTGCTTTACCAGTTGAAGAGAAATTTCAAGCACTGGCAAGAAGTATTTTCTTAGTGACAAATAACAATGCTCTTCAAGATTCAAACAGAGATGTGTGTATATACTTTCCTCTATCTTTTTTAGTGTAGTTACATTTGATTTTTGTATATTTGGTAGTATTAATTATATTTTTATCAAAGAAGGTCACTGGCTTTCTACTAGAGATTTCTAATAATAAAACAGATACAAAACTCTTTGGAACAATTTAGCTATAATATAATTTATGGGTAGAAAAATGGTAGAATTTTCCATTTCTATGAGTTTTATATACTTTACTCATTTCCACAGGAATGCCATTTCTAAATTTTACACATAGAGAAAATTACCTACATTAATTTAAGGTATGACTTGTGTGTAAAATTATTCTCATTTTAATATGCTGTCTTGAGAGTTTACAAATTCCATTTATCATGCAACTGCTTAGGATTGAAGACCAGATAAAATGAGATGTATTGATCCTCAATATTTATCTGCTCTAAAAATAACTTCAGATTTGACTTGGTACACTATAGTAGGGTTTCTGAAAAACAGGGGTTCTCATTTAATCTTAAGACATACTTTGATGATTCTGAATGTTATTCTTAGGTAAGTGACATAACAATTCTGAAAAAAAAAATGTGTCTCACTAATTCTCAGATATTGATTGAAACCAGACAAGCACATGCTAATGGATCATACCAAAATCTTCCAGAGAAAAGTTATTTGAAAAAGAAATTGATATATTATAAACATTGGAAAACAAGTTCTAGAACATTTATCTGAGTTCCCTCACCTGAGGGGTGGTGATAGTGGGTAACAAACTAAGAGGGTGTATTTTGTTTTGTTTTGTTTCTCAGGTGTCAAATATCATTCTGGTCAATTTGGAAAAGGCAATTCATTGAACCTGTGAGCTGTCTTCAGCATTAATAGAAAAGATTCTTGTGTGATTATTAGTAGATTCCATACTCATTTATATTTCAATCTCAATCTGTTGCATCAAGTAAATATACGTATGTCAGAAGACATGGATATTAAAGGAAATCATCATGGAAAAAAAAGATTTAAATGTTCCATTTTCCCTTATTCATCAGCACCATGCCAGTAGCAACCAATGCTCATGAAAAGAAGGCTATGAAAAGAACAATAATCCTCTCACAGAGTGGAGTACATTATTCCTACTGCACTCACACTCAATTACATGCCAAGCAATACTCTTAAACATGAGAACAACCAAATTTAAAATGCACCCATTAAGTCATGAGTTGCAAAACAGTCTGAATATGTTTATTTATAGATTTTATTTATCAATTTTTAGGTAGCTGTATTATGAGAAACTCCAGAAGGAAGGGTCTGGTTACCAAAGAATACATGAAAGACATTTATTTATGCACATTAATTTTTTTACTTTATAATTTAAATTAATTTTAACAACTGTATTTCACAAAACATCACTCTTTTATGCTAAAAACTTTCAAAATGAAAACAATCTTAAAATGTGTTTTGTTTGAGATAATTTAGTCAAATTAATTTAAAAAAATCCTATGGATAAGCAACTTGGAAATATTCCAAAATGGAAAATAATTCAAAACAAAAATTAAAAATGGACCACATATGCTTAAACACTGTACAAATTGTGAATTTAAGTGTGTATATGTATAAGTAGAAAAATAGAAATGTTTCATGAAGGCAAAAATTCAAAAATTACTAAAATATGAGGCTATAAAATGCATACTTAATTTATATAATGTGATGTATTTCATTAGTTGTTATAAAACCTTGGCAACCTAGAACACACTTGTAAAGAGCAGGAAGTGAGGTGATTTCTAAATTACATAAATTTGTTAGTCTTTTAAATAATCATAGACATTTAATTTTGAGGTGTTTATTATTTTATAAACCTTTTTAGCTATTAAATTTGATAAATCAAAAGGTTTGCATTATTTTGAAAACCCGTTTTGCATTCAACTTGCAGTAAGTATTCTTATTTATAACTCAAAATATTTGAAATATTTAAATTTTGTAATATAAATACTATATAAAAGCATATAATTTCACTTTATATTACAGAAATATCCAAAATATAAAAATATTAAATTTAGAAGTTTTTATCTAAATAATGTCTTCCTTGCAGAAGAATTTATGGAGCTAAAGTAAAAGTTTCTGTAAAGAAAACATTTGTCATTCTATAAGGATTTTTCTTATTTTGATGGACATTTTATTTTAGTTTATTAATATTTTGGTTAGATTGACTATATCCCTTTTGCAAATTTACTTTGAAATATTTTATTAAATTAGTAATACAATTAAAAGTATCAGAATTAAAACATGTTTTATGACTCACCTTTTTGCATTTTCTTAATTTTCATTTTGTATTTCACATGTATGATGAATTATTCTTTCATTACATATAATTGACATGGTGCACATGCATGTACAACAATATGCAAACATGAACATATAGCTATGAATTATTTTGTATTCATGAGACTCAATTTTTCATTTTAATTAGAAATATTTACAGAATTTTGAATTACAGATTTTGGCTTTAGAAATTATTGAATTAAATTGAATGATTGGACCAAAACAAACCAAAAAATGGACAAAGATGAATAAAAACAATACATGCTAACTTTGATAATAGCTCATCTTTAAATAAGTGGAAAATATTATTCTGAAAACCTATGCTTAAAAAATAAATTTTAAATTAATATTTTTTCAAAATTAATATTTTCTCTAATTTAAGTGATGACAACTTCATTATTCATAATGCCTGATGGTACAAAAAAATTAACAGTAAATTAAAAATTAAAATCCCAGAGAAGGAAAAATGTGTAGTAGCTGTACATTCATCAAGAAACTTACGTTTTTTATGTTGTGAGATATGAGCTACATTTTTCCCTCAATTTGCACTGTCATGATAAAGACTTGTTTTTACAGAAATTTGTCCTAAAGAAAGTTCAATACACACGTGATTTCAATATTTAGAATTTTCCCTAATGAAGTACAAACTAACAACAGTTTTTCAAGTATTTTTGACCTTGATTATCAGTAAGAAATTATCAAAATAATTCAAAATATGCGTGACTATCACAGTCTTACCTCTATAGCTTCAAATGCAGGGCCTCCCTGGAAACTGAAATCCAAACTTCCAATAAGACTCAGGGAAGTAGGGAAGAAGTCCTTAATTTCTTTCACAGGCGTCTCTGCAAACTTCCCATGTGCCACATTGCTCTGAGTTACAAACGCTGTGCTTTTAGTACCACAGCACTGTCACTATGTCACTGCTTACTGAATGCTATTTTGGGTTCTCTGCGTGGAGCCATGAACACTGAGCCTTTTGTGCAAAATATCATAAGGGCATTCTAATGTCCCTCCATAGTCCAGGGTTAATATGCAGACAACTAAGCAAGTAGATGAGCTGGGTTTCTCTCTCCCTCTCCCTCTCTCCCCCTCCCTCCCTTCCTTCATTCTTTTTTCTTTTGTCTTTTGTACCTTTCTTTTCTTCTGCTTTTCATCATCTTCATAACAACAAAGAAAAAGAAAGAAAGAAAGGAAGGAAGGAAGGAAGGAAGGAAGGAAGGAAGGAAGGAAGGAAGGAAGGAAGGAAGGGACTTTCTAGCTTGAGTTGACAATTCAACTTATGATAGAGAATTCTGCAAGCGGAAGGAGTTGCCCTCTTTTGAGGATTAGTTTATGAAAAAAAGTGATCTCTTTAAAGCAGACACAGGAATTTTACTAAAAGAAGAAAGGAATTTCCACATAAGTCTAGGCAGGTGCAGTCTCCCTCACCCAGGAATTAAGTAAAAACAATAGAAGGGCAGTGTCTAAATTATAACCAATCCTCTCCTATTCCTTCATTTATTTATTCAATTAAGATATGTATTACTTTATGCAGAAATAAATCTTGCCATCAAATAATGATTGATTATGAAATATGTAAGTTTTTTCTTCATCCTGTTTATTCAATTTTTTAAAGTTTAAAAATATTTTGATCAAACCAGAGATAGCTGAAAAAGCAATGTAAAGTGTCTTAACTCATAATTAATGCCTATAAAACAATATATTTTAAGGTTCAAATATGTAATTATTGTGAAGAAACAGACTTCAGTTTCAGAAATATACTTGAGTCTGTAGAACTGGGACTTTGTGCAGTTCCATTGTTTTATTTATCTATTTATTTAGCATTACAAGGGAAAGACAGTAGAAAAAGGATTGTATTACATCTAGTGGCTTGTGATGATTCATCTATGTTTATTTCATTTTGGAAAATACAGCAACCAAATTTTATTAGTTACTGTTTGCCAAAAAAAAAAAAAAATAAAATAAAATAGATGCCTTTGCAGCATTAAGCAAAACCAAACTCTGTCCATTAGCATTATGTATAAAGTGCGTCTTCCTAAATCTCTTTATGTATTTACTTATTTACTTACTGATCATCTTAACATTTATGACAGGAACAGTTAGCCTAAATTGTGGATATCATTAAAATAGCCACAATTAATTCATTAGCAATTCATTATTTCACATAATTTAACTGCATATAAATTTTCAGTCACCGCATTCCAAAAATATTTTCTTTTTAATCACTGCAACTAAATCTATACTAAGTCGCAGGCACTCAGTTCCACTAATGACATACAGTTTATTTTTGACTTTTATAGGCTACCCTTTTAAAACTAAGGATTCTCTTCCTCCTCTTCCACTGAAAGTCTTTCTGAGTTTCTGTGCCCATGTGTGTGTGTTGCCTTGGTCTGCATTTCAGCTCCTGAGGATGGTGCTGGGCTTCTCCAAGACATACAGGTAGCTCCTCACTTAGAAGTTGGCCTCCAACTTGTGCTCCATATGGTAGGACCATGTGGTTGTACCATCTCAGTGAAGACTTCTCTTCTTCCTTCCAGGCTAAATGGGCTTCTTTGAATAGATTTTAGCCATGTTTAGTCCCTGGGGAGTGGGGCATGAGGGAGTATTTTACGTTGATATCTTAAGTCATGGTTATACTCAGGAATCTCCTTAGTGCAGTCCCCACATCAGCCTGGCTCCTCACACTTCACAGCAATGGAGAGAAAGAAACTCCATTATGAGTCTCAGAGTGTCATCAATACCTGAGGGGCAAGCAATGCTAATGGGGTCTCCACTACCTTAAACAAGGGGAAATGTTTGCAGTTATAAGCATCCCTGAAACTTGGCTAGTAGAAGCAATTCAGGAGAAAAAGCACATGAATTCCTTTCTCTCTTCTTTCTTTCCCAAGCTCTGCTCCATCTACTGGGAAGATGTAAAATCTAGTCTCAGCATCATTATGAACCATTTCTACACTGTGCTCCAAGCTCTGCTTCCCTCCTTCATGTCAAGTTCTCACAAAATTATAAATACTACCCTGAACCTCCTTCAAAGTCAAAATTTAAATGAAGCTAATGTACACAGTAGGAGTAAAACTAATAACACTTATTGCACAGCACTAAGCTTTTATAAATAAAAATCTTTTTTCTTTCAAAAATATTGACTGTTTTGACATTTTGGCATTCCTTTAGACTTCCATTCAGTAAATCAACAGCTTCTTTGTTTGGACTGTATTCACTTCTGGAGTAATAAACATAATGTCTTCAGTAGATCGTAGCCTGAAAGAAAAATGTAATTAAGGTCAAAATGTACTGCCTGAAAATACCCCCCTAATTTGCCAGTATTAGGTACAGAACTGTAAGTGTTCCCAGATTCTTCTGTAAGGAACTGGTGAAGACTTCATCAAAAGTTCTGAAGGAGGGTGTATCTTTACTGCGCATTCCCCCAAATCTTTGCTTCCTCCAGTTCTAAAACTCCAGGCATCTGCCTTGGATAGGAATATTCCTACATAATCATCTTTGTGCCCACTTTTTGTTTCTGCTTTGTTTCTTGGTTTTGCTACTATTATCACAGTTTTACCGCAAACATTTTCTCAAAATCATCCTTTAATTTGGTGTCATGATTTACTGTTATGAAGATGTGCAGTGCCCATCAAACCCCCTATGGTGCTGTTTACCTTCTTGTTGCATGGGTAGTAGTTCGTGTGTTCATTTGGTGCTGAAGCTTGTTCTTGAAAGCCAGTGCTCTGTCAGTTTTATTTTGGGTTTTTTAATTATTCATGTATTTTAACTGGTTGTTCAATTTGCTGGAAACAGTGAGAAAAACAATTGTTGAACAACTTTAATTCATCCACTGCCCCAGTTCCTGTAGCAGAGCCAGTGTGGTTGTTTTACCTGTGCAATAAAATAAAGTTTAATGTAGGAGCAGGATACTCTACCTATTTACAAATTCAGATATTTTGGTCCTCTTAGCTTCTCTAAGCTCTCATTTTTAGGCAGTAGCTAGAGGACCTGTGCATACACACACACACACACACACACACACACACACAATGGCACTTCCCATCAGGCCATGCATATTAGATGGTTGCAGTAACTTTTAAACAAATCTTGGAGAGATGGATTTGGGAGAACAGATCTTCAGACAGCAACAGCAGGAATAATGTGATTATTATTTACAAGATAATGATTTTTAATAATGATTTTTTATTTATAAGAGCTTTTCTTCTTAAATATAAATATAAGAAGAAAAGCTCTGAAGAAAAGCTCTCTCAGGTTTCCAAGATACCAGTGAACAGGTAGGAACAAGAAATTTTACTAACTGGGGCTGCCATTGTGGCTCAGTGGTAGAGCACTTGCAAAGCACATGTGAGGCAATGGGTTCGATGCTCAACACCACATAAAAATAAATTTTAAAAAATAAAGGCATTGTGTCTATTTTCAACTAAAACATATTTAAGAAAAATAAATTTTACTAACAATGTCAGAGGAATGGTTAAACATTTTCCCCCTTTATATTTTTTAAAGTATGAATACATGTTAAATTTAGAAAATACCTCTTTAAATTACTCGCTGGTGAATGGTATATTTTAGGGTTCTGTCAGAATCTAATATCTTATGGAATGCCATTGCTATCGTGATGTGGACCCAATGCCCAGCTGTGCTTCCATTGCAGCTACACTTTTTTTTTTTTTTTAAACTGAGAGTGCAAATTCATCACAATGTCCCCAGGGATAATTTTAAGGCATCAGGGAGCAAGTGCGGTCAGCATTTGCCTCACTGATTATTGCAATACCACTAAACTGGCAATCAGCAGTGTAGAAGCCACACTGACACTGGATTACATTTTATTCAGAATTTACAGCCTGAAACTATATATTTAGTATAAAATACTATTAGCAGCAATTTGTGATTTTATTAAATAAAAGCTTGGTGTAAAAGCATCTATGTAAAGTAACCAAATAGATTTGCTTTCAATCAAAGCACTAGGTTAGGAAATAATTGCCCTCCTTAGAAGAGAAGATCACTAGCAGACGGGTGGAAACGCAGGGAGGCTCCACTTAGCTCATCCTATATGGACTTAGCTGTGCTGATGGGAACAGTCATCCAACACGTCCAGGAGGTATTTCTATTGCCTTTTGCTCATATTAATAAAAGCATCTGGGATAATTTTCCACATATGGAAGGAGAAACATGTCTAAATAGTGAACCAAGTATGATTGAATAAAAATGGAGAGACATGCAACCATGCATGCCACTGTCCATGTGAGAGTCACAGCAGACACTAAGAGGTATTTGAGGTCTTCATACCAGGGAGTAAATGTGAGGCAGGCCAGACAATTCCTGAGACACAACTGCTCCTTTATGTTGAAATACCTATTTTAAAAATGCCTCTTTAAATAACTGGATGGCATATGATATATTCTAGGGTTATGTAAGAATCTAACCTCTTATGGAATGCCATTTTCTATCATGAAACCACACAGAACCTTCTGGTAAGCAATCGTCAGCTTTCCCATGCAGTCTGGGAGAATTCTGCAGTGCTCAAAGATTCTAAATCCAGGATAATATTGAGTTAATCCAAATTTTAAAAATTAAAATGTTATTCATCAGTGCCCTGAAGAGCCACTGCGCTTTTTCCAAATCAGATAATTCAGAAATGTAAATCTCATGATGAACTAACAGACAAGACTGGCTAATGAAATTCAGAGCTATCCTAGGGGACAAAAGAAGAAAGTCAAGCATCATCAGAGTTTTCTATTCCACCCCTTGAAAGCAGGCTTTTAATCAGAAAGTGTATGCCTGCCTCCTTTCCACCACAAACTTTAAGGTGCCACTGTTAGATGCTCAGACTTTTCTTCAACCAGCTGTGGTCAGGAAGACAGGACTCAAATGGTTTAGAAAAAGCTTATGATATATGAAGGTATGTGTGATATGACTGTATCAGTTAGGAATCTTGTGCCACCAAGCAGATAACAAAATCAAACAGTAAAATGAGGAAGCTGACTTAACAATGAAGA